TAAATCTTTTTAGGTCTTATTTATTTATTTGAGACAGGGTCTTACTATGTCACCCTTGGCAGAGTGCTGTGCCATCACAATTTACAGCAGCCTCAAACTCTTGGGATTAAGTGATTCTCAGCGATGCCTCAGCCTCCCAAGTAGCTGGCACTACAGGCACCACCACAATACCCGGTTATTTTTTGGTTGTAGTTGTCATTGTTTGGCAGGCTCAGGCTGGATTTGAACCCACCAGCTCTGGTGTACGTGGCTGGTGCCCTAGCCGCTGAGCTACAGGTGCTGAGCCTTATTTATTTCTTAAACTGTGTGTTTTTTCTTTCTTTTTCTTTTTTTGTTGAGACAGAGTCCCACCCTATGCCCTGAGCAGAGTGCAACGGTGACATAGCTCACTGCAACCTCAGCCTCCGGAAGCCACTGGGATTACAGGGGCTCACAGTGAAGCCTGGCTGGATTTTTCATTTTTTTCGGAGTTGGGGTCTCACTCTTGCTCCAGCAAGTCTCAAACTCCGGAGCTCAAGCAATTCTCCCTCCCTAGACTCCCACAGTGCTGGGATTACAGGCATGAGCCACTGCATGTGCAGCTGTGTGTTTCTTGAGGCTGTCCCTTCTCTTCTGTTCCTGTCACTATACTCACCCAGGTTTTTTTTTTGTAGATACAGAATCTCACTATGTCCCCCTGGGTAGAGTGCTATGGCGTCACAGCTCACAGCAACCTCCAACTCCTGGGCTTAGGTGATTCTCTTGCCTCAGTCTCCCAAGTAGCTGGGACTACAGGTGCCTGCCACAAAGCCTGGCTGTCACCCAGGTTCTTTCCCTTTGTACAGCTGCAATATCCCCCTGCATCTTGGCCTTCCTGATCTTAGTCTTTCTCTTATCAAATAAATCCTATGTTTCTCCTGTAAGAAACATCTACAATATATTATTTCATGGGGACTGAATTTAAATTTCTTATTCTGATATTCAGGGTCCTGCTATACCTCCTGCAACTTCTCCAACATAATCCTGAGTCTTTTTTTATTTTTTTTTTTGAGACAGAATTTCACTTTGGTAGCATGCCATGGTGTCACAGCTCACAGCAACCTCAAACTCTTGGGCTTAAGCAATTCTCCTGCCCCAGCTTCCTAAGTAGCTGGGACTATAGGTACCCATCACAATGCCTGGCTATTTTTTTGTTGTAGCTGTTATTGTTTGGCAGGCCCAGCTGGGTTCAAACTCACCAGCCTTGGTGTATGTGGCCAGTGTCCTAGCCGCTGAGCTACAGGGGCTGAACCTTCATTTTTCTTTTGTTCTCTGTTTTCAGACACCAGAGACACATCTTTTCCTCCTTCCTTTTTCCCTTCCTCCAGTTATTTATATTTTACCATTCCTTTAAGGCCCAACCCAAATCTCCCTTTCCCCAGGAAGTTTCTGACTCTTTTGGTCCCAGCTGATACCTTTCTTATTTGATCTATTACTATTTATCATTATCTAATTTACTGTTGTAGCATACTTGGTCATTTAATCCTCTATGGCAAGGATTGGTAATTTATGGCCTATGAGTCAAATGTGGCTGCTGCCTATGAGTTAAGATTTTTCTTTTTTTTTGTCAAGACTGAGTTCTACCTTATGCCCTGAACAGAGTGCAATGGCATCATAGCTCACTACAACCTCAGATTCAGGCTGTGGGCATCCTGCTGCCTCAGCCTCTGAAGCTGCTGGGATTACAGGTCCTCGCTGTGGCGCCCAGTTGGATTTTTCAATTTTTTTCATGAGTCGTGGTCTCTCTCTCGCTCAGACAAGCCTCAAACTCCTGAGCTCAAGCAATTCTCTCGCCTCAGCCTCCCACAGTGCTGGGATTACAGGAGTAAGCCACTGTACCTGGCAAGAATGGTTTTAAATTAAAACTTAAAGGGAAGAATATTTCCTAACACGTGAAAATTAAATGCAATTGAGTGTCCACAAATAAAGTTTTATTAAAACATACCCACATCTATTTAGGTACATATTTTCTATGTCCACTTTCAAGCTACAGTGGGAGACTTGAGCACACTTGACAGAGACCATCTATGGCCTGCAAAGCCTAAAATATTTATCATCTGGTTGTTACAGAAAAATCTTTCTGATCCTTGATCTAGGATCTTGAATTCTCCTTTTATTTGTTTGCTCATTTGTCTGTTTGTTTGTTTTACACAGAGTCTCACTCTGTCACCCTTGGTAGAGTGCCAGGCATCATAGCTTCCAGTAACCTCAGACTCTTGGGCTCAAGTGACTCACTTGCCTCAGCTTCCCGATTAGCTGGGACTACAGGTGGCTGCCACAATGCCTGGCTAGTTTTTCTATTTTTAGTGGAGATGGGGTCTCGCTTTGCTCAGGCCCAGCCCCAAATTCTCTTTTGAACCTTTTCATAGCTGTTTAAGGACTTTAGAGAGGTCTACTTCATTAAAGACAATCTTTTGATGCTAATTAGCCATTCATTAGAAAGATGGAGGAAGCTGGAGGAGTAGGCTGCATAGAGTGAGTAGGAGCTAGCCTAGTTAAAAACTTAGTAACTTAGGCAACCAGATTCCCATTGGAAAGTGAGAGTCAGAGGATCTCAGGTGGATAAGGGAAAACAAGTGATCTTTTCTCTATCTTCTCTTTTTATGACCTGACAGAGAAAATGTAAAAACACACAGGGTCTAGCAGAGAAAGGGCTATTTGAGGTCTTACCTGAATCTGGTTGTTGAGAGGAGGTAAGTGATTGCTAGCTGAGAGAGCCTCAGATATTAATGACTCTTATAATAGGCCATGAAAGAAACCACCAAAAGGGTGTAACTGCTAAAGCCAAAAGTGTTTGGCCTTGGCTGACTGAAGCTGTAAGTAGGCTAAGAGGTTTTACAATGCCTAGAAGTATTATAGGCATGAGCATTTAAAGAATTTCCTTAAAGAAGAAAACTAGATATTTAGACCAAAAGGAATAGCACCTGAAGTTTCAGAAAGTTCATGACTTTTACCTAACTTTTCATCTTGCTCTAATTATATTTTTCCCCATAAAATCATACAGCATAATATTTAATTAGTAAAGTTGCATCTTATTAGAAAATAATCTATTAAGATTGGAATGTGGCCTTTGTCCTTCACATCTGCTGTCTGCAACCTGGCAGAATGCACTTGGCTAGTTTGGTACTGAAACATGGACAACCAAATGGTAGGCTGCAGGAATAAACAAGCTAGACTCTAGGAGATAGGACTTGCATATTTTAGTGGCAATAATAGTTAGAAGATCATAATAAAAGTACCTCAAAAAAAAAAAAAAAAA